CCCCTGCCTTCACAACAGGTTGTGCCAGGGACAGCGGATTGATTTGTAAGGTTTGAGGGAACATGACCTGAGGAGAGGTATAGGAGAGGATGCAGTGTCTTGGAACATGTATGGCGACTGGAGCAGAGGTGCAGAAGGTTTGGTTTACATGGGTTAGGGGTGCAGAAGGGTTGGGGAGGGAGAGGCTGGGGTGCCAGAGGCAGGCTCTGGAGGGGAGACCTTACCTGGCTCCCAGCCAGCAGCCCAGAAAGAAAAAAATAAGGTTTTGTCCTAGATTTTTCCTGCAGTTCCTGACTGCTTTTTTCAAGATCAGTTTCACATTTTCTTCAGTTTCCTCCTTATTTCACAACGAGGTTAAAGGAATTCAATTTAGAATTCTGGTACTTTGCTCTTCTACGTATTTAGAATATTTAACAGTTTTCTTACTGAAAACAGTAAGAAATAGAGATTTATATTTTAGAGACAGTTACTCATTTAGAACCAGACTGTGCTACTCTTACTGACATGAAGACTTGTGTCAAAATAAGGATTAAATGAGACTTAAGTTATGCCTAGAATTTGTGCTGGGCCTTTACATAGGGATGAATTTCAGTTTGTAACAGGGTGGATGAACCAGGTTTTTTGGGTCTCTTTCTCTGGACACACAAAATTTCCACTAATGGGAATTATTTGCCATCCGCACCTTATTTAGAAGTCCATCAGATATGGAAAGATAGTCTTCTTTAAGTGGTGGCGAATGCTAAGAAACTCAGTTAGAGCTTCTATTGTTCTACTATAATTTACTGTCACAAAGGGAACCGTAACATTCTGTTCCTACTGTTTTCTCCAACTACTTGTAAATATGAGCTGCCATCACACTTGTTCTCACATAATTTTGGCTTAATAAAATCATGTTCCCAGTCCAAATATTCTTCTATTTCTAGGGTGAGTGAGTCGCGGAAAAGACTAGCAGATTCCCATCCATAAAGGCTTGAAAAAAGGGTCTCTAAGCTCCCAAACTGAGTCACTGGCTAGCTGAAGGGGCACTCTGGCGCAGTGGCCTAAGTACCAGTTTTTCCAAAGTACAGTACCCATAAGCATCAAGGTGCATCTGTATGAGCTCCACGGCATTGCTGAGATGCGAGGAGCTCAAGCTCTGAGACAGTGGTGCCACCCCATAAGGACAAAGACAAATACCATATTGCTTCTGAAGGAACAACACCAAGAAAACCTTTAGTACTGAGTGCAACAAAGCTCCCGTTTAGGAAATGCTCTCCACTTTCACAACCATCAATATCAACAACATACCATGAATTCTTCTCTGCGCTACTGCATGAGCAGATGGTGCTGCGAGAAGTCTGGTACCGTAGAGATCTGACAGTTACTCAGTAATGATGCCCTAGTTCCAAACACATCCCGGTGCCCAGAATCACTCTCAACACTAGGACTGTACCACCAATTCTCTGGTCAGCATCACTGTTACCCGGTGGTGAGTCTGACAATGACCAGGAGGACATAATTTCCATGGCCTGTAATCGGGGTCTGATATCACAGTACAAGGGTCCTCCTCAGTTCTATCGAGATGACCCAGGATTATGTTATGAGCCCCTTTGGCTACTCCCAGTACCTGTGTTCTTCCTTCCCCAATTGCCATATTGGGATTCTTGGGTAACATACAGAGCCCATGTTTTGTAGGCATCTAATGTCTGTCAGCTGCAGATTCCTCTATAGTTGTAGTGGGCAAATACTGGCCTGTGAGCTGGATCTGGCCTGCCAAGGTTTAGCCCTTGGCGGGCCCCCACACCGTTGTATTTACCTGCGCCCCCACAGGTATGGGGGATCACAGCTCCTTTTGGCTGCAGATCATTGTTCCTGGACAACGGGAGCTATGATTGCCCAGACTCAGGGAGGTGCAGGTAAATATAGCGGTGGCAGCCCACCAGGGGCTAACCCTAGTGAACTACCACTGTTGTTTTATTGCCCACCCCTGTTTTACAGGAGGTGCCAGATACACATCACAAGCTAGTGGATATTCTACACAGTTCCTCCTTGCCAAGTATTGCCCTCTCAGTTAATAAGGCGATTCTAGAATCTAGATCTTGCCAAAGTTATCTGGCAGATACCAGCCTTTATTGCACTAGCTGGGAAAAGAGCTGACAAAAATATTACACCCGTCCCAAAGAGGTCTCTGACACTGGAACTTTTTGGCTCAAGGGAGTGAAAAAACACCTGCCTGAGCATAGTAAGTTACATTGTTGTGGAAGAAAACCACAGTGTGAACCAGGCTACAAACTAGCACAGTTAGCTACTCCCCTTGTGGAGGTGGCTTACATAAAGTACTGCGAGATAGTTCTCCCAGCGCTTGTACTGTGGCTCCTCTTTCATAGACAAAGACTATGAGAACACTAGCTGTATATAAACTGCCCTGTTGGCAGCCAGAAAGTCATGAGAGCTGTGTGTTCTACATGCCTTTTGTGTTCAACAATAGACACACTTTGTGTGGCATAGAAGTGTCAGCAGGTCTGAGGTGGTGTATTGAAGAATTCATGCTGATGCTTAAGTACTGTCAACAATGAATGAGTTCCTGGGGAAAAAAGAAATAATACTTGCAAAGGTGTCATCAATTTAAGATCAGGCACAGGGTCATCTGGACAAATAGATTTAAATGAAGGCAGTTAAGACAATTAAAAAACTTCATATGTGCTATAGACAGAATTCATAGCAGTGGATGTTTGAATAGTTATCTGTCCCGAACTACAGTAGTAATGCTAAGTCAATCTGTCATTGCTAATATAGCTGTAAATTGCATGTACTAGAGTAGAGATGTTCTTCAGCTGCACAGTTCAATTGCACATCAGAATTCAGAATCAGGATTTTGTTTGTCATGGAGATGTGTCAGCCCTAACATTAAGATTCAGGTTTCCTCAGAGACAGAAGTTGTTACAGTTTATATTTTGGTTTAGGCCTGTCTCTTCCATTGGAAATATGGTGAAGAGCCATTAATGGAGTCCTGCAACTTCAGGCAACCTGGCCCTGATCCAAAGCCCAATGGAAATAGCTGAAAAACTACTACAGTAAAACCTGTGTTATCCAGCACACCCGGGGATTAGGGCGTTCCAGTAACCTACAAATTCTGGTTATCTGAAGGGGGTGGGGGAGGTGAGAGCTGTGTGGGGCCTACGGGGGAGGGAGGCATGGGAGCCATGCGGGGGCAGGGATGTGGCATGCTGGGGGAGGGGGCCATGAGCCGCTGGGGGAGAGAATATGGCCTGGTGAAGGGGGGGTGGAAGCCGGGGGGTGGGAGGCGGAGATGGTGGGGGTGGCCTTCCAGGGGGAGAGCCGCAGGGGGGGCTGGCTTCCTAGGAGTGCCAGGAGCCACAGGGGGGCGGGGAGTCGGGATGCTTGCTGCATGCTCGTCTGAGGAACGGTCCAGCACTTAAAGGGCCAGTTTCCTTTTTTGTTTTTGTTTTGCTTTTCCCGGCATCAGAAATTAGCCGGTTTCTACAGTTTTCCAGATGCTTAAGTTCCGGATAGCGCAGGTTTTACTGTACTGACATTTGTGAACTTTGTTTCAGGCTCTTTATTTTACTGTTTGTCATGCTTAAAACTAATGAATGTAGTTTTCCTCTGTAACCCCCCACTTCCACTCAATGTTATATCTAAAATAATTTGAATGGTCCTTTTCTATTCAAAATCTTCACATATGATTTGGATGATGGCATTGCAGTAGGCTTAAATAGTATTTGGTTGCTACCAACCTGGGAAGAGTTGCAAGTGCTTTGGAAGACACGGTTAGAATTCAAAATGACCTGGACAAACTGGAGAAATGTTCTGAAGTAAATAGGAGAACGTCAATAAGGACAAATGCTTAAGAAAGAATAATCAGTTGCCCAAATTCAGAATGGAAAATGACTGCCTAGGAAGAAATACTCTAAAAAAGTATCTGGGGGTTATAATGGATCACAAACTAAACATGAATCAACAATGTAATACTGTTTCAAAAAAAGAGTTAACATTTTGGGATGTATTAGCAGGGGCATTGTAAATTAGTAATGAGAAGTAATTCTTATACTCTTTTCTGCACTGATGAGGCCCTCACTTGGAATATTGTGTCCAGTTCTGGGCAGCATCCTTTGGGAAAGTTGTGCACAAATTGGAGAAAGTCCAGGGAAGCGAAACAAAAATCATTAATGATCTAGAAAATGTGACCTGTGAGGAAAGATTGAGAAATCTGGTTTGTTGGATCGGGAGAAGAAAAGATGGGGAGAGGGAAATAACAGTTATCAAATATGTAAAATACTAGACATTAAGAAAAACTTTTTAATTATAAGTGTAGTTAAGCACTGGAGCAAATTACCTAGGGAGGTTGTGGAATTTCTGTCCACTGGAGATTTTTAACAGGTTGGAGAATCACCAGTCAGGGATGTTCTAGTTGTTATGTAGTCATGGCCTGGACAAGATGACCATTGAGATCCATTGTAGTTCAACATTCTGTGAACTTATACAGGTTGTACATCCCTTGTCCAGCACTGTTGGGACTTAAGTGGTCCCAAACCAGGGAGTTCGCTGGATCAGGGAAGGTCATGGTTCCCCTCCTGGCTATCAGCCCCACTCCCAGGTGCCATCCCCAGCCACTGGGTTCCACTATGGGCTCCAGCTAAGGCAGTGCTTCTTGCCTACAGCCCCACTGCTGCCAGTGCCAATTGGGGCTGTGCTCCCCACTACTGACCCAAGCTGCACTCCCCACCACTGACCCCATTGCCAAACTCCCCACTGATGGCTTGGGATGTGCTCCCAGCTGCTGGCTCCATTGCCGCTGGCTGGGGTTTTACTCCTGACCCTGGCTACCACCCCTCCCAGCTGGTCTCTCTGGTCCAGAAATATCTTTGGTTCTGCCAGAGCACAGATGTTCCCAATCCAGAGAGTACTGGATTTTAGAGTTTCAATCTGTAGTTATTTTGATCTTCCTCTTTTTCTTCCCATAAAGAAATACTAAACTAGTAATTTCTTGTTTTGAATAGGAAATGTTTGATGTCATTTTGGATGAAAATCAGCTTGAGGATGCATGTGAACATTTGGCAGAATACCTAGAGGCATACTGGCGTGCTACACATACCACCAGTACTACACCTATGACACCTCTTCTTGGAAGAAACCTAGGATCTACTGCACTTTCACCATATCCTACTGCAATCTCTGGATTACAGGTATGAATATGCATCTTGGCCCCCAGTCACCAGTACAGGTCAGTTTTATTCATTATCGAAAAACAGAATAATATGTTTTATAACCTATCCAGTATTTATTTCATTAATTACTATTTGCTGTTTGGAAGGTGCCAACAGCAAGAAAGCAAAATAGACCCACATATTCAACAGAAAAACATTTATTAATGGAGTGCACTGACTCTAACTAGTTTTGTTTTAATGGGGAATATAATACCCTAACTCCTTTTGGCATAAGAAATAAACTGAGATGTCTGGCACTCTGTCAAAGGCTATTTTAGCAATATAACAAAATTGCATCTTTTTATGTGAGTGCCATTAGAATTAAAGAGTCTTTCAGAATGAAAATAAGTATGTAAAATATTATAGCAGTTTTGCTGATAAAAATACTATAGTTAAGGCTGCTGATTTTATTCTGTTATAACCCAATTTTCACATGCTCATAACTTTTCACAACATTCATCTTGTGGGCCAAAACATTTCAGCAAAATCCCTTTCATCTGTCTGATTTCATTTAGTGTAAATAAAATACATTTTTTCCCATTGAAAAAAAATTCTGACCATTTTTTTCCACAGGGATAGCTCAAAAACGGCGAACTTTGAAACTTCAAACGTGGCATGTAAATAGTCCTTAATGAGAAGTACGTGCTTTACTAAGTTTGAAAAAAATGTTTTTGGAATAACAGTTATGAATGTTTGAAGATACAAGACCAGAAGGGAATGCAGTGAACATTTTCATTAATTATGAGAGTTTCAGAAAGCGTTTTGCTTGTGTATGTGACTTTTAAGGAATGTGTACTTGCTAATATGTGTCAGCAATAGAGCTGAGCAAATAATTTGAAATGCATAAGTCACCTGAAAAATTTAACCTTTGTTCTGCTCATGAAGTATTTGGAGGCAGATCATAATTTGTGAATAAAGCGATTCAACATGCAAATGGATTGATTATTCAAATGTATTTAATAAATATATAAAATTACTCTTTGTATGAATAGTGTAGTTGACTGCAGGTAGATAGTCTTTTGGTAATAATATTTTTCCACCAGGTAGTTTGATTCTGTTAGGCCACATAAATTGTGTGGTATTATTTTCCCTGACTGAATGAGTGCATATGCACTTCTGTCATTAGTAATCCCATAAACAATTGTAAAATGTTATTTCCATGCTCACTCAACTTTTACATTTCAGTTTGCCATCCATTCATGTCTGTAAAATGCCATCTCTTGAATGTACACCTGAGCAAACCCAAAAGGAATGTGTACATAGCCAAAGCAAATTCATTTAAATAATTATCCATAGCATCCTCCCCCTCCCCCCAATTTATTTACCTATGATCATTAGGCACTGATAATGACAGTGACATGGTACACCACTTACCCAGGGAAAACTTACACTGAAAATAAAAATTACCCCGTGCAAGGAGCCAGCAGAAGGTCTATGCCAGTAGTCCCCAAGTTTTCGTGGCTGCCGGGCGCCCGGGGGTGGGGCCGCTCACATGTCCCACGCACGGGGGCGGGGCCGCCCACTCGCCCTGCACCCAGGGCCAGCACCGCACACGTGCCGCACGCCTGGGGCAGGGGCCGCCCACACACCCTGTGCCCTGGGCTGGCACCGCGTATGTGCCGCGCGCCGGGATTAGGGCCAGCCCAGATGTTTTGGCAGGCGCACATAAATGCCCCGGCAGGCGCCATGGCACCCGTGGGCTCCGCGTTGGGGACCACTGGTCTATGCCTTGTCCCTTAATACCCCCATTAGCCAAATTATGAGGTGATAGCTATGATGGTGATAGCTATATGCCAAAGAGGTAAATTTCACCCTGAATTCATTATGCCTGAGTAAAGACTGCGGATTTGATTGACAGTGACATTTAAGTGCTTCAGCTCATTTAGAGAGTTGGGTTGATGTGGTTGTGTCACATTAAGGATTTACATTATCTTAAGTGCGTATGCCTTATACCACTTTCAAGGTACTTGCCACCTAAAGAATTATATCAGTTAAAGTGTTTGACACCATAAGGTGACTGAAGTACTTATATAGACTTTAGGAATTAAAGTAGTTTAGGTGTTTATGCTACACTAAATATTTACTGTAACACTCTAAGCCCTTATGACTTTTTTTCTTGTCTTTATCAGTTATACTGCCTTTAAATGCAGGAAATCGCAAACTCTGTTTGAATGAAATACAGAGGTGTACATTTATGCACACAAGTCCAGGAGAAACAAAATTGAAGACCTCACACTCAACTTTAATTTTGTAGCATTGCATATATTTATTTTACTTGCTTATATTGTATAAAGATAAACTAAAGCTCAAGATACAAGGTGCAATGCAATTTAGAAATATGTAACATTCAAATTGAGCTTATATCAAATATTAACCTTATGCACTTGCAACCCACATTGTGTGCAGATTTTTGTCACCATATAGGGGCTCAACCACACACAAAGATGGAATCTGCAAGTTACAGCTAATAGACTTAAGACCTTTGGCTCAAGTGGTGGAAGGTCAATGTTTTTAGCTCTGCCGTACCCAGTTTTGAACTAAACTGATCAAGCGAGGCTGGATATGCGTTATGATACAGTCCAGCATGATGAGATAACATCTTATATTTTGCACAACACCTACAAATGTTAATTCTCATCAAATATAATGAGTAGTTCTGTGGCACCTTAGATACTAACAAATATATATGTAGTATCATAAGATGAGCTCACCTGAAGAAGTGGGGTGTGCCCATGAAAGCTCATTATACTATTCATATTTTTGTTAGTCTCTAAGGTGCCGTAGGACTAAGGATGTTAAGAAGTGGGTAATTAATCATGTAGTCAGTACAATTTGTATGCACTGCACAGTTAGTTGATAAGGGGAGGTACTCCATCCCGGCCCGGCTTGTGCTGGGTCCAGGAACTACCCTGTTGCAATTCTGCAATTTAAATATAGTAGGAGCCAGGCCCACAGGCAGCCTGGCTCCTACTACATTTAAACTGCAGAGCTGCAGTGGGGGTAGGTCCCAGACCCAGCCTGCACCAGGTCCCAGACTACCGCGCCTCTGAGTTTTCAGTGTAGTAAGAGCTGCTCAGTTCTTACTACATTGAAAATGCAGAGCCGCAGCAGAGATAGGTATCAGACCCAGCACAAGCTGGGACTGAGATGGGCTTGCTCAGTCCCAGCTCATGCTGGGTCCAGCAGCCTCTGTCCATAGGGGGTCCCAGCTCCCCATTGGAACCCCCCACAGATCGATAAGGGCTGCTTGCAGCAAGCCTGGGCCCTCTGTGGGCAGAAGCTATTTCACAGCAGCATCCTCTGCCCTCCCCCCGCACCATGGAGATGGTGCTAGGATGGAACTGGCTTTTGAGATGGCTCCCCCACCAGCACCAGCTCCTGTTCCCACTCTTCCGTCCCGCTTGCTGCCTCTGATACAGAGGCAGCAAGGGGGCAGAAGCAAGTAGTCGACTACTCAACTAGTTGCCTACATCCCTACACAGGACTACTCATTTTTAAAGTTACAGACTAACATGGCTACGCCTCTGAGACTTCTTCACATATGTTCCACACTGCCAAGAGGTGAAGAGATTGAGATCAGAATAATAATACAAGTATATCTCTGTATCCAATAAAGAAAAGAGCGTATATTACAAATTAACTGGGGGAGGGACATGATGCATTCACAAAGATAAATTGCCACGATGTTGTAGATGTTAGGCTAAGGAGTTAAATAAGACCTATTGACCAAAAATAAAACTCTGATTAGCATATGGACAATATAATGAGATTAATTAAAAAGAGGTGAAATAAAAGCCTGGCAATGGAGGAGGTCCTTGCCATAATAGATATTATTGAAACAATGTGGAATAACAAAAATGTTTCAGATAACATAATACTTGGCTCTGAATTATAGAGTAAAATAAATTAGGTCATAAAGGTGAAAAGTAGACCTCTACCAGAAAAGTTTCCTAGATTAGATACCATAAGAAAAAAATTGTGAGTTGAGAGGACTATACAGTCGAATCTGTATGGATATCAATCTCAGATCAAACATAGTAGTAGCATTTCATTATAAGCCTTTGGAGCAGAAAAAGGATATGGAATGCACAATGATGAGAGAAAGAAGAGTCAGCTAAGTTGGTGCTTCATCAACCTTTTGAATTTCTGTTAAAGATGGTTGCGTGGAGACATGAGAGAGTAACAGTGGTAACAATGGACTGTATGTGATGTCATGGGATGGAATGTTGTTTTCTCTATATGAACTGTTGCATCATTGCACCATTTTAGAGGCAATAATGTGAACTAATTTTGATCATATGACCACACATAGCTAGATATTAACCAATCACAATGGAAACATAAGGCCAACAAAGGCCAAATCCCTATTTTGTAAATAATTTTTGTGAAGGAGTTTCTGTGTATGTTATTTGAAATCTTTATTATGTTTTAGTTATAAAAATCACTGAGGGTATGTCTACACTACCACCCTAGTTTGAACTAGGGTGGTAATGTAGGCAACCAGAGTTGTAAATAAAGCCCGGGATTTGAATTTCCCGGGCTTCATTTGCATAAAGCCAGGCGCCGCCATTTTTAAAAATGTAGCAGACATTTTAAAATGGTGGCGCCCGGCTTTATGCAAATGAAGCCCGGGAAATTCAAATCCCGGGCTTCATTTGCAACTCCGGTTGCCTACATTATCACCCTAGTTCGAACTAGAGTGGTAGTGTAGACATACCCTTAGCAACTAACTACTTCTGCTATGTTTCATGTAGAGTATTTGGTCATACACTATTAGTTCGTAGCTTAAAAATCTTTAAATAATGCATAATGAGTTGCACCTTTTCTGAAAAAACAAAAACTCTTTTTCAGAAACTTTCTATAAAATGCACTGATTCATCATGAATTTCTAAAAGGAATCAGAATACAAATGTGAATGTTGTGTTCATGATTGGGGGGAAGAACTGACAAACAATTATGTTCTGAATTGATCTACTAGTCAATTCTTACTGAAAGTGCTCTGTAAAATTTTATAAGATTGCATATAAGAATATCATAAAAATACATTGTATTATGCTGCATTTGGTCTATCAGTTTTGGAAATCAGTCCATTCTCACACCCATCTCCCATCACAAATAAATTTTAGTATTAAAAAGGAATCACAAAAGTGGATGGATTCTGAAGAACCTCGAACTGAGGCTCACAACTAACTTACAAGAAGTGAAGTAGAATTCTGTCTGTATTAATGCTTGCATTCTTTGACATTTTTAGAGCCAGCGTATGAGACATAGCAACCACTCTACTGAGAACTCTCCAATTGAACGAAGAAGTCTAATGACCTCTGATGAAAATTATCAGCTTGTCTTCCAGTTCCCAACACAGCCGAGATCATTACCCACTTGTGGAAGAAGAATACTCTGACTCTTACCAGGACACTTACAAACCACATAGGAACCGAGGATCGCCTGGAGGATATAGCCATGATTCACGACATAGGCTTTGAGTTTAAGAACTTGGGAAAAATAGTATTCATTAGTTGACAACTTGCCATAACATACATAGAAAAAACAAATCATCTTAATTTAGCAGATGTAACATGGTTTTACTGTAGTTACTAGTTGATGCTTTAAAAAAACAAAGAGGAGGAAGAAATTCACCAGACCCTGATGTTTAGGAGGAAATTAGCTTGCCCAGCCGTACTGGATTTTTTTTTTAGTACAGCATTTGCATATATAACGGTACATTTTTTTCCTTGTTAGATATTAAACACATCTGTTTGTAATTTAGGGTACTTATCTCAAGGCACATATGAAACAATTTCCAGTGCTGGAAATTCCAAATGACCAGTTCCAGTTGGAACCAATTTATAAACCAATTCTTGTTGGAATTTGGGTGAACTGACTGGAAAGTCGACTTGAACAAGTTGCAATCAGTTGAAAAAAATGCAGATGAAGAAATAGAAAATTACTAAACCACTATCAGCCAAAAATCAGCTGCCATATTTGTTTGCTGGAAGCTAAATTTACACTCAAGATTAGAATAAAAATATTTTAATGTATATTCACATTTCCAGAATGGCTTTTTTCAGACTTACCAAATGTAAACTGTTTCTCGTGCCAAATATCACAAATTAATGCAGCAGTTACAAAGTACTTTCCATTTTGAATATTTTTTTCTCCTGACACGTATGTTGCAGCAACATTTTTTCTTTTGTTTAGTCAGTATTGATACTTCTGTTGTCATCAGCAATGGTGATATGAATTTCAACAATATGACTGCACCCCGTCACACCTGCACATGAGCAACAGTAAACAAAATGTCTTGCGGCCCTATATGGAATCCTGATGGGCTGCATGTTGCTCACCACTGATATATGGAAGAGACTAGTAGGAGTATGAATAAATCCAAGCCTGGCAGGAATGATGAGAGTTTGAGAATACGTGGCTGCTCTTTCTTTGATTCATCAACACAAAATCAAACAGGAGAGATGTGATGCTTTTTCTCCCATTCTCAATGTTCTGCCTTGTTAAATTGAAATTGATCCATTCTCCCAACCACTCATGTACGGCAGATACTGTACTTACATTTCCACACAATTGAGCATCTTCACATTACATTTTTCAGTCTCCATCTTCAAATGTCTGAAAATTCCAGCATCACACAAGAACCCTCGATAACCAAATCCTTTAAATTGTATTGGTAAAAGCAGATTTTTTTCAAAACACCAGTAAATTCTAAAGCAAAGATGCAGCTTGCAATAAAAACAGAATAGAGTACTCCAGAAGCTCTGTTCACTGTAAAATTATAGAGCTGACATTTTAAATTCAAATAACTAAGATAAAGTCTTTGGAGATTTTGCTGCCTTACTTCTAATGAACAGTGCTCTTCACCTACTAACTCTTCTGTTTTTTTAAATGGATACATTTATGTAATTAGACCTTATGTCTTACATTATCAGTGAAGCCTTATATCCAATATGATTGAAATAATTATTGTAATTGACCATTTTATACAACACACTGGTGTCTTTAAGCATAGACTCTTTCTAAAATATCTGAGACACTGCATGCATTTTCTAAAATTGACAGAACTATGTGTAAAATATTATTTTATGCTGGTTCGGGTCAAATCTATTTTTTGAAAATGAAAGTAATTTCCCTTTTCTCTTCCCAAAGTCTCCTGAATGGTAGGCTATAAAAGCATGCAGCACTAAACAAATTTCCTGAACCTAATGATGTCTTTTGCTTTTTGGACCAATTAACGAAGATGCTATTGATATTTCCCCCCGCTAGTGAGCCTGAATATCTTCTTGGTGATGACAACTAGAAATGTAATTTATTGCATTTCTGGTACAACCAAAAATAATTACATGTCTCTAGCAGTGAAAGGTAGTAATGCAGCTGGCTTTTTGGACAGGTTTTACTGCATAAAAGAAGCCTTGAATGATCAGTCACTAGGTGATTCAGTTGGGCCAACTGTCAACAATTAAAACATAAAATATCTGCATCCACTGGAGTAATAAAGTTAAGAAGTAACCTATTGAGTCAGTTCCTGTTGCCCTTTTTCCAGCTAAGCACCTATTGATCTCAGTGGGAGTTTGGCCTGAGGAACTAATGCAGGATCAGCTTCCAAAGTGATGGCATGTGCTGCCATTTCTAATATTTTATGCTATAGCACAGTGGAACATTCTCCAGTAATTTTTATATGTCTTTGTTACACGTACAGCACACATCTGCATGAGAAGGAAGGTATTGGGCAAAACATTATAAGCTTTGACAGTTTCTTTTTTGTGCGCATTAATGTATTAATTGCAAAGAATGCACTGAAATGTATAACCCTAGATTAGACAGTGGTTTATCTTTATTCTGTAGTAGCATTAGGGATCAAATCATTAGCTGCTTGAAGATATTTGCATTTTATGACAGGTAGCTGCAACATCACTAACATTTTTTCTAGTAAATGAGATTACTGCTTTTTCATTTGAGACACAAAAATGTCATTTATTTTTAAAGCCTTTTGGAGCCTTGTTTTAAAGTCTTCCATGTCATGCTAGTAAAGGGAAAGATCCACATAACACACATGCTCAAAATCCACCAATTGCATCGTCTGAAGTGCCAAAAACCACTTTTGTTTAATGTTCTTATGAAACGAATCTGTTGAAAGGAGTCATTTATAATGTCTTGAAGGAAAATTTTGAATGTTTACCTTAATTCTGTGGGTTTATTTTAAGTTTACCTTCCTTTTTTTGGTATGATTTGTATCCTCTTGTTCTATTATTTAAATATCACCAAAGTTTGCTTATCTTGTTTTGCTTTTGTTTTGCAGAGAGATATACTCTTAAAGTCCATGTTTATATAAAATACATTTCATTGTGGGTAAATGCTATTGGGAATCTTTCTTTTAAAATATTTTTAAGAGACAAGAAATATAATAAGAGCTGCAATTATGCTTAAGGCCACTTAAATGCATAGTATAATCCATGTATTAGAACTTCTACAATGTTAGCCAGCCATCTTGTGTGGGTTTTTTTTTCAATGCAATGGCTTTATGTGAAGTTGTGAAATTAATGTAGTCCTGAATGATTAATAAGATTAATTTTCCAATCCTGCTATAATTTCTCATGATGATTATATCCTGATTATAGTAATGTTCAGGATTCTACTGCTAAGCTCCAGTATATATATAGAAGTATTTATTTAGAAATGTTTATAAAATATTGATGGTTCTTTGCTATTTTTATATGTTTTTATTTAAAACATTTGGGGTTAATGATAATTTAGACAGCAGTAGCCTATGCTGATATGACCGTCTCAGTGACACAATTATCTAAAGGCAGTATGCTTCAATGCATTCATTTGCCTGACTATAATTGAAGAACAAATTAATTTAAAATATGGCACATATTTAGAGGAATTGTAATTGTTCCCTTTGAACTTGAATTAATATTTTTTAAATTTTACAGATATTTTTCATCTCTTTTACTATTTAACTAGTTGAACATTTTCCCCAATGGACAGGCAAATGTAAGTTGGATAAATTTTCTGACTGATAATTAGGAAATTATTGATTTAAAAAAAAAAAGGAAATATTTTTAAATTATTGATTTAAAAAAAACAGAAAAAACTACAGCTCTTTTACAGTAATTTTAAACACTGTGGGCCATATCATGTCATCACTTTGTAAACAAAACTTTCTATTGAATTTAGTGAATCATTCTGCTTAGAAATCCAGGTTTATTATGGCCCCTGGACTTAGATTTTGCCCTGCAAAGTTAGTTTCCTGTTGAAGCCATTGGAAATTGTGCCCTGACTACTTATTTTTCTTCTTAGTTTAGCAAGAATAGTTTTTATAGCAATAGATTTTGCTTTTTATGCAACATCTTTGCTAGAGAACACTGAACCTGATCTTGCATATTTCTGACTTACACTGATGAAGGCAACTATAAATCAGGTGCGTATGAGATTAGAAAAATTTCCAGTCTCTTCAGTAAACACATTACAAGAAATCATATTCAGAATGTTAGTGTTGGTTTTGCTGCAAGTGGAAATACACTTGACTCTGGGCTGGTCTACCCTACAGTTAGGTTCACATAAGACAGCTATAATCATCCTCATTATTTCAGTGTCTACATTAGAGCCTTCCTCCCATTGATGTAAGGACCCTACTACACCAACATAATAACTACACCTCCACATAGGGCACAAGGTCCATGTAGTTAGGGAATGCCATTTCTGTGTAGATAACTGTGTCCCTTACATCTTCTGTCTTGTCAATTTCACAGCAGGACCTGTGAAACTGACAAAGCCCCTGCTCTCCTGGAGAGCTGCGTGGCTGGACTCTGCTCCTGGCTAGGAGCCAAAGTGAGAAGCCTGAGTTTCCCCTGCCTGCACCATGCCAGAAGCCCGCCAGCCTTAACAATTGACAAGGCTGCCTGGCTCCCAGCTGGAATTGGGCAGAGGAAACAGGAGGGTAAGAAGGGTAGATGGATTCTGTCCCCTGGTAGTCAGAGGAGCAGGGTGGCTTCTTCCCATTCCTGGCAGGGAATGGTGGCTGCGAAGCCCCAAGCACATTGTCTGCTCCTAGAGAAGAATGGAAGTGGGTTGGGCATTTAAGAAGTCTTTGGCACCTTCCCCCTCTACTCCAAGCAAGGATGGCAGAGTCTGTGGAGAACCCTGCTACTTGTGGGCCAGCCAGACTTCTGACAGGAAGTTGCCTGTGGAGCTGAGAGATTCAGCTGCCAGCTCCCCACACAGCCTTCTTAATTTAGTGGACGTGTTCCTGCTCAAGACATGCATCACTGACCCAAGGTGGGTAGCGGGGACATGCATCACAGCAGTAATTACTGTGGTGGCTGTTAAGTTGACCTAATATAGGTCAGCTTAGGTTTGTAGTATAGACATATCCTGCATTTTCCTCTAGCTTTTAAAGCTCCTGTTACAACTGATATTTGGGCATTCCACCCTTTCTTTGCTCCTTGCTTTTTGAGCAATGATACCAAGTAGGGAAGCAGGTAATTGCAAGAACAAGAAACTACTGGAGACTGAGTGCTTATAGCAGTTTTTTTCTCTGCCACAAGCTATCTGCTGCTATAGAAGTGCAAGATAATGGTTGTTACCATAGGGGTGCACGAGTCCATAACTTCAAGTTAGTTTCAGACTACATTTTCAGAATCCACCTTGGCCTCAATTTCACATTCTTCTTTGAATTTCCCTGCTGCTCACAATCTCACTAATGTTCCTTGGTATCCTTTTCAGAAGCACACACTTACTAGTCAGCATTATTTTATTGTATAGTTATTTGAGTAAACCAGGGCTGTTGCCTAGTTGCTCAGTCCATTTGCTTTATATAGGAATAAATTAAATCTAACCCTTGCTCATATATTGATTTTTGGATTCAGCAATCATGAAACCTGGCCATCACACCGGGCGCGTCTAGACTACCTGCGGCTTCTGAAAGCAGATATGCAAAGTAGATGCAATTTGCATATCTTCTTCCAATCCCTTTTTTGGAAGATGGTTTTTTTTTGAAAAAAGAAAAGCAGTCTAGGCGAGATTGTTCATGCAAAAACTCCCTTTTTTTTAAAGAACCCTTATTCCTCAAAAAATGTGGTTTACAGGGTTCTTTCAAAAAAGGGGGATTTGCACAAAAACCCCTGAAAAAACCTCTTCAGAAAAAGGGATTGGAAGAAGATATGCAAATTCGCACCTAATTTGCGTATCTTCTTTCAGAAGCCGCAGGTAGTCTAGATGTAGCCACCATGTTGTTGGTGTATTGTTTTAAAGCTGAGTACACATCCTGACCAGTGAATGAAAAATTGGATGAAAAATTGTGTACAGTAGAATCTGATTTATGCAGACTTCAAAACCCTGTTGGTTGAAATTGGGTTATGTTTCCCAGCTTGCATGATTCATTTGGATAAATGGGTTCAGCTATAACCTATTTTGCTCCAGTAATCTGTCATTTCTTTAAAAACTAGTTCAGCTGACAGTAATGGAGCTACAAAATAGTTACCTAGCTAACTCCAAATTTGGTGACGTTATCTCCTGCTATCTTTATATTGTATTGACAAAAGGGAACACATTTTAAGAGTAATCATCCATTTTAGCCTTGTTCTATGATTATTTAAGCCCAACATACTCTATGTAGAAAAAGAATGGTACATTTTGATAATATCATAGAAAATATCTAAATGAATGAATTTGGACAAAGGGCTGTAAACTCTACCTAGGATCAAAAGTTTGTTACAAATAATGGAAGTGAACATATTTTTCTAATTTGTGGAATATGCTTATGTATACTCCTTTCTTCAATTCTTGTGATCTAAGTGAACTGTTTTGGGAGAAGACAGAAATAATAATGATAATAAACTTAAAGAGTTTAGAATTCTTTTTAGGTACATCTAGTAGCTATTTTCTTTGAAATTATGGTGGCCAAGGTCAGAACAAACATTGACACCGCTTGGCTTGGGCTTAGTGCTGCATAGTAGAATTGCCTTTTTGTACTGCCACTACGATTCTTTAGCAATGAGCTACTGTTTGTACTTTCTAGGGCTGGATTCTGCAAATGCTTACTACTGACCATAATGCTTAGTAATGTTAAGCCCAATAATAAGCATTTGCAAGTTCTGGCTAATAATGTTGCATACTGTTTATCATATGCCTTACAAATATTTTCTGGGACATTATTAAAACAAGAGCATTCTGTTGCCAAAATAACCCTTTGTTATTACTTCTCTGTATTAGTACTAGAAAATAAGTAATGTAGCAAGAAATTATATTGTACAGTACAAAATTATAGTATATATTTTTTGCCAATAATAAAAAATAGAGCAAGGAAAAAAGCACATTTGTAATAGCACAAATTTACAAGAAATCCATTGTTACATTTGCCATTGCATTTTTGAAAAAGTAGGAACATTGTTGATCCAGTTTCAATGGATTTACTGCACTTTCCATTGCTTAACTTGCTGCCTGACACTTCTCCAGCAATTTTTACAGCCTTGCAATTTACATATGTAATTTGATTTTTCCATGGAATTATATTCTCTTTAATGTGAACTCAGTAAAAAAAAAAATCTTTTAAAATTAGACCATTTGTTGCACTCATTTCTCTTATTTCTGCTCCCAAATTTTGAACCCATATGACTATAAATGAGGTCTAAATTATTGCTAATTTATAATTTTTTGCATAAATGACTGAAGAATATACCACTAATCATATTTGTAGACCAAGATCTATAATGAAAATTTCCCTAACAAAATGACAATCTGGGGCTATAAAAGCATTTTTGCTTTTGCATACTATAATGCTATTGGGGAGAGGGGTTGATACGTAAAAGCTACTAAAGGGTCCATGCTAGCCCACTTAAAACTTCCAGTGAAATCCCTGGGAGTTTTATATATGCAATGATCAAACCTAAAAGTTCTATAAATTTGAAATAGGACTTATTCTTCTCCCATGTGCACCAGTGAAGTCAATGGTATTACATTAGTATAAGACAGTGTAGGAGGAGAATCAAGCCAATTAAAATTCTTTATGTGGTGAAACCAGTCATCCTAATTCTGAACTGTGGATCTTGGGTTCTTTATCTCCCAGTCGGTCTCTGGTTATTGGCCAAACCTATTGATGTTGTTGGGAGTTTTCCCTCTCACATCAATGGAGGCAATTTCAGGCTAATTATGATACAGAAAATTGTTATCTTTACTAAACCAAAAGAGTATACAAATTTATATTTTCTTTGTTGCTGATTTGCCCCTTCCTATTTTTACGTATATAGATACTGTATGTGTAGCATTCAACAAGGCATGCTGGGTAAAATATACTATGCAAATGTATACAGTGTTGCATGTTTTGCTCTCCCTCTGCTTTAGTGGCTTTCAAGGAAAAAAGTGGTGTTATTTTTGTGAACAGAAACATTAACAAAGAAAATGCAGACTGCATGCGTACAGTATCCTAATTTCTATTGATTTGTTTTATGGAATTTAGATGTATAAAAATGAACTGCATTAAAAAAATTTTCTACAATAAATGAAAAACTATCTAAACATAGTGCTTAAAGGCTTTTAGTTTTAAGTTTGTTCTTGAATTGTATGCACAGCTCTAATCCTCAAAGACAAGACTTTAGAAAGTTGAACAAGTTCTCAAAGTTATCAACAAAGAACATCAGAATATATTCAGAATTATGGGGGAATCTTTATGAATGTGTTTGAAGATTTCATTAACCCAGATTCAGTATTCTGCCTGTTGTACATAATCTCTCTCAATATTATTTATATTTGGCCCTACAATCTGAATGATACACTGTTAAGGAACAGAAATGCTTGCAACCCAGAATGCAGGAATTTACTATAAAATCAGTCTCTACATTCCATACATACGTAAAAAACTCCTACTTAAGGCCTAATCCAGTGCCCAAATAAGTCAATGAAAAGATTCCCATGGGTATTGGATTAGGTCCTGGATATACTGGTCTATCAATTTACAGCCCAAAGCTAGTCCAGTACAGAAGATTAGCAAATGACAAAAGAGAATGTGTAGTGTGAAGGTATGTGGGGAAGAGTCAGGGCGAAGCTAAGACACTGTTACCCCTGAAATCTCCGTGGGTGTATCTACCCAGCACCCTAAACTTGAAATAAGATATGCAATTTGTGCTACGACAAATTTCAAAATAACATGCTATTTTGAGACATCCCTTAATCTTCGTGGAATGAAGGTTAGCAGGATGGCGAAATAGCATGCCTGTTATTTTGAAAAATATTTTGAAATAATGGGCGGCTTGCATAGACGTGGAGTAGCTATTTTGGAATATTTTTGGTATCCCAAAATAGCCGTGCTGCGTAGACATATCTGGTGAGAACTTCTTGTGGAGTTTTTCCCCATTGGTCCATCAGAGAGTAAGATTTTTCTCCAGAGAATAAACTGTGAGGCTGACTTTTTTGGGGTGAAACACAATGTCTATAGTAAATCACTACACAGTGTGAGGTAAGCACGGTGCCCACAAAAAGGCCTTTGTGCTTTGCCTATAACTATCAACTGCAGGCAACACAAACACGACATAAACTCCACTGAGGCCTCCATCAACGGAGGCATGTAGATTAGACAGATCGGCAGAGGGAAGTGAAGCCGCAATTTAAATAATCGCGGCTTCATTTACATTTAAATGACTGCCACGCTGAGCCGACAAACAGATGATCAGCTGTTTGTCGGCTCAGCGCGCTAGTCTGCACACTCCCACGCCAACCTGAAAGCCCTTTATCGACCTCCCTGGTAAACCTCATCCTATGAGGCATAGCGGGGAGGTCAATAAAGGGCTTTCAGGTCGGCGTGGGAGCGTCCAGACTGCCCCGATCTGCCGAGAAACAGCTGATCGGCAGAGCGGAGCAGCCATTTAAATTTAAATGAAGCTGCGATTAATTAAATCGCGGCTTCATTTCCCTTTGCCGAACAAACATCTACATGGCTCTGTTGACGGAGCCATGTAGTTTAGATGTACCCTCTCGTACCACAAGCCTTGTAAATTGCAGGTTAGTCGTTTACATGCCTCCATATCCATTACATTACACTGCCTGGTCCTTTGTGTTCTGGATACCCACATCATACACTGATCCACTGCCTCTATGGAAGCAGTAAACCCAGCACAAAGCACCGAGACATTTCTCTAATAAAACCAAATAGAAGTTTATTTACCAAAGTTTGAGTTAACTATTCCAATAAAGTGAAAATGTTTTTTTAAATAAGTTTACAAGTAAACAAAAAACATAACACACACTCTATAGCCTATGCTTATTAACAAGTTTCTTCCCTGTCTAATCCGGTACAGTCCAAACAGTGTTTGTCCAATTTAGAGAGCTGAGATCCACTTTTCCTGAGACATCCCCTCTAATGGATCATATATTATGCCCTTTCTTCTCTTATATAGTCCAAGGCTTTGTCTTCTTTCATAATCAGGGTGTTTCATGAACTTCAGTCCTGAGGGCCCCGTTCCCTCTCTTCCCCATCCAGAGCCTCTTTTTGCGGACTTTTATCTTTGTAAATGCTAAGGCCTGCCTCTGGTCCAGCCTGTAAACACAAGGCTCTGTGACCTGAAAGATATTCTCACTCTAGACTGAGTTAGCTGAGACCCATCCCACTTAATATTTTACATCTTGCATCTCTCCAACATCGTACCATAACCATGACAATCAGCTCGTTCACAACTTTTGTCAGAGAACACACACAACCTCCATCAGTGAAATAGAAGGATGATCAAAGATGTAATATACTAACCTAATGTGTCTGGGCGTGTCTGTATAACGGGCCCACTGTCAAACCTGGCAAATCTTCAAGGCTTTACAGGGGGGCTATGGTCATCTATAGAGACACTCTGCCTTTGCACTAGCTATGGCATCTGTCCAGCTTCCTGGCAGTGTGATTCCATAATGATCACTGGTAACACAAGTAAAGTCTGTCACTGTTTTTGTTATGAGTCCTCTTCCTGTTGAAGACAATATACAGTATCAGATAAGCCATGTTACTTGCATCCAATTTAACTGACTCATAAGTTCTCATTGCACATGGTGGAGGAGGGGA